ATGGGGAGCAGGTGTGTTAAATTTGGTGTTATCGCTCTCACTCTCTCATACTGGTCACTGGAAGTTCAACATGGCAAGAACTCTCTGAGGATCTGAAAAAAAGAATTGTTGCTCTACAAATATTTACAAAAATGTGAGGGGTGTACTCACTTCTGTGAGATACTGTATGTATGCTTGAATAATTCTGATTTTAAAACACACACACAATCGCTCTCCCTTTCACCTACTTTCCCTTAACACACATTGCTGAACTCATTAGCTTTCTGCCCTCTTGACCCACAGTACTGAGATAAAGCTGAAGGTGCTCCAGGTATCCCACACATTAATACCAGCTATTCATCCGTACGCTGCAGACACTACTGACTCAACAGACATCGGTACAACACCATGGCTAACCTAGAAATGACAGTATAAGCAAACTGTAAGAGTTACTTAACTTAAATCCTGACATTGTTGTGTAAGAAAAATAAAAAACAGACAAAAAAAAGAGAAACAGAAGCACGGAAGCAATCTAAAAACAACAAGCTCATGCACGATTTGTTGGAATCATTATTGTCTATATTAAATATGCAGTCAGAGAGTAGATCACATTTAAGGGCAATGAGCGAGTGGCCATAGTGAGAGAACAGATGGTCAATACTCTTATCCTGTTTGGTATTCAGAGCTGTCAGTCAAACTTCAAGCCTAATGCAATTATAGTGTTGCACTGAACATTGGCAGCCCTAAAGGACCTAGTAGCCTTCTTTTTATTGGATACCCTTAGTTTGACAGGCAGATCATTCATTTAAAACTATCACAGGCGTGTTGTTCAGCCAGGGGCCGCATGCATAAACCTTTAAGTACTTTCCATAACAACACTGTGTCCTAACCTGGTGCAATGCGAAAAGTCTGACTAAACACGAAACCGCTGGACAACATGCAGTTATTGTATGTTGCACAAGATTTTGAACCAATGAGATTTCACAGTGGATGGGACTAAGAAGTGTGATGTTGCAGTAGTGGAAATCAAGTGTGTGACAAAATGTTCTGTCACTAGTCATGGTTTACGCTTCAGTGTAAACGTTAGCATATGCTCAAAAAACATTACATATTCATGTAATGAATGGTCTATATATACTGCATAGACTTTACAATAAGGTGTCATTTGTTAACATTAGTAACAATAAGCAATATATTTTACAGCATTTATTAACCTTTGCTAATAATATTAGTTAATAAAAAAAATCATTTTCATGTTAGTTCACAGTGCAATAAAAAATGTTAACAGATACCATTTTTAATCCTAAAAATGTATTAAATATACTAAGATTAATAAATGCTGTAGAAGTATTGTTGTTAGTTCAGGTTAACTAATGTTAGCTAATGCTAGAATCCTGACAGGGACCAGAACTATGGAATCCCTATACACTCCAATTTTGGAATCCCTATACACTGTCTCCCTGTTAGGTTTCGTATCGATTTTAAAATTCTTATGCTTACTTATAAGGCCTTGCATGGCTTGGCACCTCATTATCTATCTGAACATTTAACTGTCTACACTTTTAGGCGTGATCTCCGTTCCTCTGATTCTGGCCTCTTGACTGTTCCCTCAACTCGCTTACGCTCTATGGGTGACCGGGCTTTTTCTTCCCTTGCTCCAAAACTCTGGAACTCTCTTCCCTATGATATTAGACATGCAAAATCTTTTAGTGTTTTTAAATCCTCTCTTAAAACTCACCTTTTTAGACTTGCTTATATGTGATTTGTTTTTATTTCTATGGTTATCATTGTACTTATTTTTTACTTTTAACTCTGTATCCTTTTCTGTGTAAAGTGCTTTGAGAAGTAACTTTTAAAGGCACTATATAAATACATATAATATACAAAATAAAGTTTATTATTATTATTAACAAATTAAACCCTATTGAAAAGTGTTATAAATATCAACAGACTGTATAGAAAAAAAATATAGATAGAAATTGGATGTATTTCAATGTTATGGCTGAATTTAGGCATTACAATAAGTATAAGCATGCTTATTTATATATATGAATATATGCATGAATGTCAGTAGCTGAATGTGCTTGGGCGGAGCACAGAGGTATATTATGTGGTTTGATGTATTGTTGCTGGGGAAATCAGTCTTCACTCACTGTGGCAGATCATGGTAATGTTGGCAATGCACACTCACCAGATTGTGGTTGGTGGCATTGGAATCATCTTCAGGAAATGGTTTGGACACACCAAGGGCAACACAGTTAGCAAAGATGGCCAATAATATGAATATATCAAAAGGCTTAAAGGTCTACGGTCAAGGAAACAATTGTCTTGAAAACATACAAGAGAATGCACAAGGTTTGCACATACACACACTACAAAAGAGAGCGCACAGTGTGTACACACACACACACACACACACACACACACACACACACACACACACATTGGGCAAAAGGATATTTCCACTCCACCAGGGCCAGCGCTGCCATGCGTATAGGGTTGCTGAGAGTGAGACAGCACAGAGCTCTGGGTGCACGAAGGGCTGATTTGTTAGCTTGTGGTTGGTGGCATTGGAATCGTCTTCAGGAAATGGTTTGGACACACCAAGGGCAACACAGTTGGCAAAGATGGCCAGTAAAATGAATATATTAAAAGGCTTAAAGGTCTTAGGTAAAGGAAACAACTGTCTTGAAAACATACAAGAGAATGCACAAGGTTTGCACATACACACACTTGGGCAAAAGGATATTTCCACTCCACCAGGGCCAGTGCTGCCATGCGTATAGGGTTGCTGAGAGTCAGGCAGCACAGAGCTCTGGGTGCACGCAGGGCTGATTTGTTAGCTTGTGTGTGCTTCTTGGCTCCTCCAGCTCTCCTTTGCCCTGCTGAACCCGTTGAGTTGAGTGTGTCCGTCTTGCTGGGGTCAGCCAAACTGGCCCCATCTGAAATAAAGGGTTTTCTTATTAAAACTATGTTGCCAACAAATGATCTCCATCTAATTTAAATATTAAAGGATAACTTCACTCAAAAAAAATAAAAATAAATAAATAAATAAATAAATATATATATATCTATCGTCTGTCTGTCTGTCTACCTACCTACCTACCTGTCTGTCTGTCTGTCTGTCTGTCTATCTATCTATAATCTGACAGTATCTATCTGTCTGTCTATCTACCTACCTACCTACCTACCTACCTGTCTGTCTGTCTATCTATCTATCTATCTATAATCTGACAGTATCTATCTATCTATCTATCTATCTATCTATCTATCTATCTATCTATCTATCTATCTATCTATCTATCTATCTATCTATCTATCTATCTATCTATCTATCTATCTATCTATCTATCTATCTATCTATCTATCTATCTATCTATCTATCTATCTATCTATCTATCTATCTATCTATCTATCTATCTATCTATCTATCTATCTATCTATCTATCTATCTATCTATCTATCTATCTATCTATCTATCTATCTATCTATCTATCTATCTATCTATCTATCTATCTATCTATCTATCTATCTATCTATCTATCTATCTATCTATCTATCTATCTATCTATCTATCTATCTATCTATCTATCTATCTATCTATCTATCTATCTATCTATCTATCTATCTATCTATCTCTCTATCTGTCTGTCTATCTATCTATAATCTGACAGTATCTATCTATCTATCTCTCTATCTCTCTATCTGTCTATCTATCTATCTATCTATCTATCTATCT